GAATTGTCAACACATTATGACAATTAGCAATACATGCGATCACGACTATGTCGGGGGACTAAGTGTCACAGCATGGAAGCAAGGCCTTATATGGCATTATGTCACACATATTATAGTGTCAAGATTTGAAAAATCATATCATATGTCATTTTATGACAGAGTACCCAAGCAAGACCCAATCTAATTTAGATTTACAGGAGCTGGACTTTGAGACCTTATTTTTAGTGTCCCTTACTGTAATGTTCGGCCATCAACCACCATTTTTGAAAGATTTGTATGCATATTTAGATCCAATGAGAGTAGTTGGTGGGAAATATGATTCACTATATAAGCATGAAAATTGGCTTTAAGATCATTTAAAAGCATTGCCTTGATAGAGGAATGAATGTCAAAATCAACCATCAACAACCTCCTTTTTTCATTCAAACCTATAACAGCTGTTTCCTATAATTATTAATAGTAATTGAATGTTACATTTTCATCTTTTTAGTTTTTTAATCAAAACACTGCAGAGGAGAGTAAGTTTGAACTTGAGCCACCAGAAGTAGACTGGGATGATATGAATGTACAAGTCAGGTGAGATGATTTATACATCCCTTTTCCCATATTTCTATTCTACCATCTTTTCTATGCAGTCCTTGATCACTAGACGTCATTCTGGTTGAGTAATTAATAAAATTAGTATAGTTAGAACTTCTGATAGTTATTCTAGACCTAAAATATGCGTCTAGCTGGTTGTGATGCTTCGACTTTGTCTTTGTCATCGCCTGGATGCATCTTGGACAGTTGTATTSACGTGTTGATATTGGTGCTTCCTGGACGTTGTGTTCTTTCTGCTCTCTCCTAAATACAATGCCTTAGGTTTTCCCACACGTTGACAACAAAGTTTGTCTGGCGACATTCTTCTCGAGCGACTTTTTAGGAGACGCTTTTTTCAGGAAATAAGGCGAAYTTCTTGGCGGACTTCAAGACAGACTTCCAAAATGTCATCAGCACAAGACGTATTGAAAATCCATTTTTATGAAGAGGATGGGATAGTTGTCATTGTTGTAAATCCCATACAGTCCATCTGTCCATATCGCTTGTATTGATCACTTATATCGTCATTATATTAAAATACTTCGTTTTGTTTTCAGGGAAGCATTGGGGAAAGCAGAAAAAGCCACAGAAAGACTGGCAACCGTATCAAAAGACGTCATGAAAGCACTAGAGCTAGCGAACCCGAAAGAAACCAAGAAGTACGTGAAAATCATCTTCRAGTAGCTATTGCAAACTATCAAATTATTAGAACACTTTCGATATTTTAACTGATCATTCACTTGAAGACGAGGGTCCGGCAAACAATAGGTAATCCTCACTGTTACCCCAGAGCCTCGTCTTCAGTTCTTGTGTGTGTGATTATTCAAGCAGAATATCGAAAGTGGTCTATTGTCGTTTTGTAAAAACAGTGTTGGTTGTTTCCAGAGGGAAGAAGAAGCTGGAAAAAGCGCTCCATCAAGCTAATCAGGACATTATGTCACTGACAGAGAAGATGCTCAAAGTGCAAAGTGGTAAGTACAGATTGACATAGTAGACCTAGAACAAAGAAACTATGAAGACATGTTTTGTTTGTACATTTTAGAACTGGATCAAAATGAAAACAAATTGTCTCAAGTTTATCGAAGTATGGAGATGAAGACAGTTGAGATTGAAAGGTAAAGGCGCCATGGATGGTTTTTGATTTGGTTGGACAGCCTTTTTTGGTTCCGCAGTAATTAACTTCGGTAGTTGCGGTTGTCCGGCCTAATGACGAAATATTTGTTAAATCTTTGTAACAAAATTGTTGTCGCGATTTGCCGGGAGTTTCCAGTATTTCCCCGTATYCCATCTCAATATTAGACACACCCAACTCCAACCACAACATAAGCTTTTGGTTAACATTAACATAAATCTTTATGAKGAAATGRGAGAGTACTGTGCAYAKATCGACAAGCGCTAGGCACTCTAAAAATGCAAAGCGTACATATCGGACCACTAAAACGTTTTTGGCATGCATTATAGATAGTTTCTATACTAGAACTTTTAATGATTAAAATCATTTCATTCTACTCTCTCCGATATAGTTTTATCTGGAATAAAGTGATTCTCTATTAACTGTTTTGTTTGTTTGTTTTRATATGTTTTAGTCTGTGTAATTTTAACGTAATATTTTGTTCGCATTAGATTAAAAGTACAAGCTGACAATGCCAAGGTACCAAATTTCTTATTTYATTTATTTGKTTCTGAACCCCAAATGGGGTTRCTAGCCACCAAATRACCCTTGGATCCWTATTYACAATACARAATGACAACCTTTYKTTCTTTAGAAATACTCTGACGAAGTGAATGAGTTAAAGACCGAGTTATCAAACAAAGACAAAGAGGTTCAGGGCCTCACAAAGGTTGGTGTGAAACATGTTTTTGTTCACAAAAATGTAGAGAACTTGTATAAACGTTTTTATTCTGGCTGGCAGCCTACGTTCCACTATTATTATTTAAACAAAATTCCGAGTAAAACGAAAGGTATTATCCAGCTGCTTGATCTATGTACGATAATCAAGGAACCCATGTGTGCAGTGAGAGAGGCACTAAGCCATGTGGGTTAAGCTTGGAGATCATTTACGAGTATGCGTAATGGCACAATTTTCTCAACAGACTGCTAATGAGCTGGAACTTACTGTTGCACAACTAGAAGACAAAATGGAGCGAGATTATGAGCGAAACAGACATTTAAAGGAGGAGAGTCAGGTAAGGCTGCTTGGTAATGCGCACTTTGCATGGATTCCCGGTTAATCCTTGGTGTGCCTGTCATGTTATTAAATAGAGAATATTACAAGGACGCGCGGAGATACGGATTTTATATTCGAGTGTTTAACAAAATATATCACAAAAACACAAAATTCGTATCTTCAAGCGACCATGGAACATTCTGTTTAACATATAATGTACGTAGCATCTTTATAGAATTGCTAAACCTGCGGTTTCTAAGATGCTTTACAGTCTTAGTGGCAAAACTTAATAGCATCTGTTGGCAGCGTGCGGTCTGTGAAACCAGAGCGTGTACAGCTAACCAAATCGTTTGGTATTTTTGTTACAGAGGATAAAATCCGAATACGAAGAGAAACTGAGAGATCAACAAAAATACGTAGATGTTGTCCAAACAGGTAGGGCAACGCCCCTCTATAGCTATCCAAATGGCTACCCATTTACCACTGAACAAAGCATCAAGGGACTATCTAGTCCTGGCACACTCTTTATGTAATGATTTGTTAAAAAACGAAAGCAAGGAAATTTTTTCCAAAGAGAAAGAAAATAATAGATTTTTAAATCTATTAAAATACTTTTAAGATCAATGAAATCAGTGTCTGAAAGTTTGATACACTTGATTTGAGTTGTTCTCTGATTGGTCCAAGACTGATTGGTCCAAGAATTTACCTCTATTTTGTATGATATTTGACTGTTCTCAAAATTTCAGTACAAGCAGGCTTAGCCTCGAATCTATGTGTAAATTTATTGGCTATTCCTAATGTTTTCTATCCTGGGAACGAGGCTATTTTGTGATGTAATGGAATGTAAGGTAATAGTCAATAAAGGGTGGATGTTGATATGGATACAAAAACATAATAATAATAATATAATATAATAATATAATGCTATTTATATAGCGCTTATCCAATTCTGTTCTAAGCGCTTTAAAACTACATGACATCTACAAAACACATGAGAGTCTTGGTAGACTGTGAGCTTGAGTTGGCGCCTCTGGCTGCCGCTGCACAGTCCGTCCCAAGATCTCAAACTAAAAAAGTACAACAATCAGATTACATCACAGTGACAATAAAAAAAAAAAATGATAATGTCGCGGGTTATCTGTGAAATGAGGCATTGTGGGATTGATTGATATTCTGATGATTTTTAAGAAATGAAGCAACACTATGATGCAGAGGTTAAAAAGTTACGAAGCGAGCAGGAATTGACGTTATACTACTTAAAACAAGACCACGAGACAGCAATGAAGAGAAAAGAACGAGCCATTGAAACTGTGAGTAACAAACCGCCTACCCTGAGATTGCTCTCAAAGGGATRAATAACTACTGCATTASACTGGGGGACACTGGGATTGATGATCGCTTGAAGCAAATTTGAAATTTATARAATTTGTGCGCGCTTTTATTAGATTCATCTGATGTCATTAGTAAGTCGTTAAAACCTATTTTTCTCATAAAAAATATATAATTCAAAMGATCCCGAAAACTTAAAATGGCGTCAATCGATTTATATTGGTCTGTTCATTAGTTAATCAAACTAGCGTTAATTAGTTGTGTTAATGAAAAAACTATTATTTCTAAACGAATAAAGCTTTCTTTTTTGTTGTGCTCGGTATTAATGGTCAAATCATCGCAAGGTCATTGTATGAACTCCTTGGGGACTTTACGAAATACAATMCGACCAGACTAAACACATGGGTTGCCATTAGCAACATTAACCGTGTGATCGAATTTCTTTCCTTCTTGCCTGGAATCACTCGTTCTCGATGTTTCAGTAATGTCACTTTAGCAAAACTAACAGGTGAGACTTAATAATAATGTCGTTTTAAAGTTCAATTGGAGACTTCAAATGAACTATAACTTGAATATAATTGATGGAACAATACGCAAATCGTTGTTTGCAGCTTGACCTCAGTGAGTCAGTTGTTCTCGGCTCCGTCATAGCTTGTAGCTGCTGTTGTTGTTTAACATGAATCATATATTGGCAAATTAGAACTGAAGCAGGTAATTCAATCAATTAAGATATGTACTGTGCCGAAGCACTTAAAGTCAATTGTCTTTATCGTTCTTATATTTACAGACAGCTTACAATAAGAACGCGTGCTTTCGATCTTTTCTCTGCTTGACGCTTTCTTGATATAAAATATACAATTCGCTGTTGATGACAAACACAGTCACACTGCTTGAATTCATATAATATTTACTTAGTTTTCATATCTCAAGATTGCCGTATAATGCATGCAAAAGATATATCAATCGATTGTTATACAGATTATTATATTGAAATGTTGTCGTGTGTCTATCAGGACTGATTCAGTCTTTCCACTCTTCTAGCTTTTATGATTGTTTTTAGTAAGTCTAAAATCTTCTTGTCGAAATACTCAATGTCGTCTCTGTCTTCATGCAATGTTTAGTTTGTATGCTTGAATGACACGCGTGTACATAACGATGAATAAATAGATTGTGTTCGATAGATTCAACGATAACTCACATTACAAATGCTCATTGGTCGGAATCAGACGCAGACGCAGAATCATAAATATGATTTCCTGTTGTTATCTATTGCGTGATGAAGTTTGAGCCATTTCAAACATATTCAAAAGAATACTTTCTCAGTCCRACGCGGAAACGAACAATAAATGGAAACAATAAAACGAAAACTACGGCGCGGGGAGTTTTCCAGTATTTTTTCCAGCTTATTAATTTTGCATTTCATCAGAATTGTTTCATTGGAATACCGACTCTACCTGAGCTTCAAAAAATTTCTAAAAAACAAATCACTTAGAGCGGAAGCGAGCAGCCAATAGCAACACTATAAAGATGTTCTACGTTATCTCCTAATATGATCAAGAGCAATAATGACCGCCATTTAGGGTCGATACATGTACATGTTCAACATATCTAAATCTAACCACTCCGAATCCATTGACTCAATAGCCAAACACGTGACTTCCATCATTTTGTTTTATAAAATTCACTTTCAGAAAATGTTGAATACTGAATAGTGCATTCCGAGACCGCAATGCATTGTTGCTGTTAATCTCATCACGTTAGCTGCATTACAAAACAACAATTCTAAAACTAAGTTGCTTTCCATTGAAGTTCTTGACCGCACTCAGAGCAAAAACAGTCACTCTGATACGCGAAAACTTCTTTTCAAAGGCAATAGAACGACAGCAATGTAWTGTGGTCTTGGAATAAACTATCTTCAATATTCAACTTTTTTCTGAAATAGCTGTGTAATATGTTATAAATCGTTTCAAACACAAACAATTTACGTGGTGTTCAACAGTCGTTATTTAATTAATCCTCAATAATCTCATTCAAGTTTTCTCAATATTCTTTTATCAGGCTAAGAAAAAGAACGAGGAACTCAAATCAAAGGCCGATTTGTCAGCATCAGAGTCGAGCCCAAGACTCTCTCACTTCACGGACAGTCCCATTGGCAAACTAGGATCGCCATTCTCACCAGACAGTAGCGAGAGCGAAGCGGGCACACAAGGACGAGTGTCACTCAAATCGTCAGCTCAAAGYATTCGAATGATGYTGCGAAAGGTTGGTGTATTTCAACTTCTTGTTGTGTGTGTAACCTGATATCTAATGCATGTACTGCAAAAAGGCCCCTGGACCTAAATTTGCATCTGGAGTAGCGTTAATCTAATAGATCGCAAGTAACCAATCACAGCGCGCTCATTCAAAGCACACGAAACTGACTGACAAGTTTTTTTTATTGTTTCAGAGTGGTACCGAGACAAGTGTTGGTTCTCCCCAGGATTCTGGTGTMCAATCCCCAGTTGTCGAGTCACCAACTAAGATGTTGTTACGCAAGGAGTCTATAGAACGAAGCAAAGGAGATTTAAATGAACAGAACAGCAAAACGCCAGATACACCAAAGACTAGTGATAGCAGCAAAAATAGAAAATCGAAATCACCTGATACCAAGCCAGGACGAAGGTCAAAGTCTCCACAGAAAACAGTACARATCAATACATTAGAGGAAGAAACAAATGAAGGAAAATCCATKGAAAATACGAACATTGGAAAACATGTAACTCAAGCTGAATCTGCAACTGGTAACTATTTCTTATTCAGTGATATCAGATTACTGGGAATAAAATAAGAATAGTCCAGACGCCTGCGACGGAATTGTCTTGCTGTATCTGTATTCTGGCTAATCAGTTCTGAATTTATATTAGTACTTTTAAAAACGCGAAGACTCGATGTATTAAGAAAATTGCCGCCGCGTGCTCTAACGCGATTTTCTTGATTGAATAGGAAAAGTAGAGATGATCGATGCATCAGTACAAAGTGACAGTGAAGATCAAGACGTGACMAGACCAAAACCAATTCTACGTCGAACCTCAACTTTGCAAGTCGTCCAYGAACACGATGCTGATTTGGAAGAGGATGCTGAGGTGGACTGGGTACGACTTAGTTTAGCAAGAAGCTTGTTTGACGTTTTATCCTTAACAACCGCAATCCTTTCTATGTCCCCTTTTGAATATAAAAATAATAATGAAAGCTAGAGTACCAAACTATTTACTGATAAGACGCTACTTTGATAAACTATTTCAAAACAATAACTACCGTAAAGGATTCTGGTAGTGAAAGTACAAACTGACGTCATCAAGGTCGAGAGTTTTAAATCTTGTTTTTTTATTTGCAGGCGAATCTTTCTCCAGAGGAGTTACTAGCACGGGCAGAATTGTTCAAAGCTAAGGTACATGCAATGTGTATATATATCAACCTTGTAACTGTTGTCCATGTAGCCAGTTCTTTTATTTTGGTCTTCTTTTTAATCTTCGTTTCGTTTCGTTTCGTTTGTAGAGTTTGAAGAAAATTGAATCACTTAACAAAGAGTTATCAGAATGGAAGACAAAGGTATTTATTATAGAGCGGATTTCGTATGAGTGGGACACCGTTACCGCACGGTTACCGGACCTGGCCTGCACAATTTTGGTGAATCAATGGGGTACTAGAATTTGGTTACAGTACGATTACGGTCACAGTACAGTACCGTCCGTTTCCCACTCATACGAAATCCGCTCTATTGGTTTTTGGTAAAGCATTGTGGAATGGCAAACTGACTGGCTGAATGAATGAGAAATGAATAATGGGAGGAAAACGCTTAGTAAATGAAAGAATGAAAAAAATGAAACAACACTACAATCTTGAACTGCTATCAAACTGTACACAGACCAAGATAATGTTTATTCATTTATTGTTTTCTCGTACAGTATTTAAGGAAGACTGATTCTTTGAGGCGAGAGGTTGCAGAAGCAAACGGGAAACACTTTGAGGTACAAATCAAGCAATGCACAGCTGATTCTAAATAGATTGTCAGAGTGAACGGCGCGTAGAAAATAATCGAGTGCACGAAAGGAATTATTGGTATTGCAGGATATTGATTTAACTTGCGTCAACCGAGTTCAAAGCAATTTTGCTAGATAAGAGTGCAAAAGCGGGAGCTGGATCGGTTCATTTTAATCTAGAGTTTTAAAACGAGTATTAAAAAGAAATGTATTAAGATAATGTTGTGTGAAGTTCATCAGTTTCATCTGTTGCATGTTATTAATCAAGCTCACTTTTATCTGAATCCAGGAAAGAGAGAATCTCATAAATCAGCTGAAGGAAGCACAGGCTTTGAAGGTAAACTCGAGTTTATGATTACCAACAGTATTGAGTCTTCACGATTCCCTACTCTGTCTTGATATTAAGTAACACTAATGGCCTCGCATCAAAGTGAGACAACAACTATGATGGCATTTAGAAAAACATTGTTCAAGTTAGCAATAAGAATGATGATGATGATAATGTAGGGGATATATATGAACTAAATAAGATACATTGAATGAGCTGAAGACCAATTGGCTGTCATCCACTCACTAGCAGGTGTGATTCTTATCACTGTTTACTTTTTTGCCTTCATAGGAACAAGCAGAACGAGAGGTAAGTACGCAAAAAGAAATTATTTTTTCACGGCTGAACCGATCATCACTCGCCTTACATAGTCACACGGATGATATATCAGATAAAAAAGAATCGTGTTTATATTGAATATCAAGCTTCAGCTKTTTTTAAGTCGATAATTTGAGGACTTTCTGCGATAACATCTGCAAATTTAATYSAATTCAAGACTTTGGTAGTTCCGTTTTAATTTTTGTATAATGTTTGGTGTTATTTCTGTTCTTCAGGCAGAACAAGCCGTTCTTCAGTTGGTAAGTGAAATGTTTTGCTTAAATTTCATAAAAGTATCAAACCAACTAGTGCCATCGCTAGGCGGGTTGAGTAAACGGAACTTTAAACAACCAATAAACTTGACTTGTTATTTACTTGCTTTTTGCTTATCCACATTTTGCACTTATTTTAATAAAGGTATCCGTTTATTTAAAACTTTCAATGATAAAATGTATTTTGTATATCAAGCTATTGGAAGAAAAAATCTAAATTTTATGTTTGACTATTATGGTCTCTAATTTTTGAACTTCACTTCTGAATCAAAAAACATAGATATTCCTCAGTATTCCTMTAATGACTACCCCTTTGTTTTAAGAATACAAACTTTGTCGTGTTTGTTTTTAAATGCAAATATTCTCTTCTAAGAGCATTCAAATGCACATTCAAAACGACCGATCAGTTGATAAAGAAATTTGGAGAAGTGTTTCCAGATATGACTATTTTTTCCAAACAGTTTTATTTCATATTTCGACTATTTCAGAACTTACTTATTGCGGTGGGTGTTGTCGAGATGTTTCCACCTGTTTTATTAGAGTTTTAAACCTTAATTATGTTCTACCWCACTCGATGTGTCACGTGACTTCCCCTTACACTTCAAAATATGAAAGAGCACCGCAAAACTAACGCTAATAACCTATCTTGTTAACAACAGACTGACTAAACAGGAAGGAAGCTGSAATTCTAAGGGCCATTAATTGAGTTTATTAGCTTTTCGGGAACGGTWTTTTATTTGCTCCSTGGCTCTGCTATGTAGTCAACCATTGSAGAAGGAATCGTGATCTTATTGTTTGCATCGATCTAGTTAAATTTGAATCAATATCTTTCGATTTGTCTTKCATATATAATCATACTTTCTCTTATCTTATTTCAGGAAGAGATTTTAGCTGAACAAGAAGAAATGGTAAGCAGCGTGTATTTATTCAGCGTTTTTATTTTCCTATCACACTATTGCACGACGCACGMGCGTCAAGATYTTCCCGCCTTTTTGGCAGACTTCTGACAGWAACTGTTTATTTGGATMGAGAGCTAATGCGCATGCAYGTTTCATTGCTAAGGCTGATTTAATTTCAWATGTTTTTATTMCTGRAACCATGTGTCAACTGGTAAAATTGATTGACTGATAAAAATAYTATGTTACAGCGTCTTGTTCAAGAAAAGTCTTTACAAGACCGTCAAGATGAACAYACTATGACTGGAGTATCTTTACGAAGCGTACGAAGCGTAGAAAACCGAGATACCATGACTGGAAAGTCCTTAGATAGTAAACAGGTAAAACCGGTATTCTATATGACATTGTTATAGTATTTTAATTTTTTAATCTTAATTTCAATTTTATTTTTATTTAAAAATCATTTATTAGACAATACTATTCTTGTCACCAGTCCCTCCAGTCAGACAGCTATCACTCGTTCGTTAGTCGTGGCGTCAGCCCATTTCCTATTATGGAGTCAAGCACACAAGAAGATACGGTTGGAGAGGAGCATGGTGCCGACTACAAGCCAAGCCCACGTGATAGTGGTTTCGAGGGGGCTGGATCGAGTGTGAGATTCGATTCCAGGCCTGAATCAGGATCAGATAACACGTCCAGTGTTTTGTCACATCGAGTCACCAAGATTTCAGAGGTGTTTATTCAKTCATTCTTCCTCTCAWTGAGTTTGTCTSTCTGTCCGTAATAGCATATTTTTCGCTAATGTTTTAATAAACATCCTTCTTTACAGCCACCACAGGTAACCCGATCTAATACCCTGGCAGCCCCTCGRAGAGAGGTCGTRATGAGTGCTCGGGCTCGTCGACGATTGATTAGTTCAGCTCTTCGGGATCATCCGGTTGCTTCGGAGACTCTTCGTACTTACGAGAGCGTTGTRAGATTCAAGGAAGATATYACAAAGTGGTTAGAACTTCAAGGATTGTTTGTCGAGATGGGGGAACTGACGAAATTAGAAATGGCTGCTGTCAGCAAGGTTTGTATTGAAAGGATGTTGAAGTATTTCACGCCATTGTGATTTGTTGCATAATATGTGACAATGTGCACATTTGTGACTGCCTGAAATTTTATAAAAAAAAATAAAAAAATATCAAGATCATATATCTGTATGTGAAAGTTGGAATACAATTGGTTGGTGTAACACACACCTCCCCCTTCAAACAGCGTGTTTTAAGATTAGTTTAGTTGGAAACATTTTTTCCAGTCACCGATGTCCACTATAAATTTAGTACTTTTGACAAGCCTATTTCTCGAAATGTAAAAATTCTTTCGCCAAATATTTTCAGGTTTTGCTAAGAATGTTTTAATTTTTTGAAGTCTGATTGATTGCGTTGTTTACATTTTGAATATAAGCACACACTTGAAAGTTCTTCCTGGTATATGTAATATATTGTATATAATATTTTTGTGTATTTATTGTTTTATATCAGGCTAATTTAGCGGAGATGATTGAACGAATACCAGAAATACGATACTGTATATCTCAGGTATGTATCGATGGCATTAGTACTCTATGGTATACATCCTCTATTAAGCGACCCTCTATTTAGCGGTCACCTTCATAAAGCGGCCACTCATGAATACCCCAAAAGTCGATTCAGTATTTACTGTTAACGTGACCTCTATTAAACGGTCAACCTTTATTAAACGGTCACCTGGTGACCGCTCAACCGGTCAACCTTTATTAAACTGTCCCAAGGTGACCGCTTAATAGAGGTTCGACTGTATACAGAGAGTCATCAAAGGAATACTAGTGGTATTTCTTGTTTTATGTACTCTCCTTAGGAACGGATGGTACATCAGAAATGCTGCAAATCATAACAATAATAATCTTTTTCTTGTCCTTCAGGTGTTGGATAAAGTCAGTAATATAATTTCAACTCAGTCTTTAGTACGCGAATCAACAACGACAACAGAACCGATTATCAAAACCAGCGCTGAGAGTACTCGCTACGAAACAACGGACGTGCTCCCACCTGACGATGCCGACGCAAGCGAAGAAACCTCCAGCCATAAAAAACAACTCGACTTGAATTATGGKAAATTGTTGAAAGAGTACAATGACCTCGCCGAGGGCTACGAAACTTTGAAGAAACATCTGGAAGAAGAAACAAAATTCCACCAAGAACAAACCAGCCAGAATGCTGCAATTATGGTGGACATGCAGGAGACAATAAACAGACTTCAGTCACAACTAGACGATGTGTTGGCAGGACGCTCGTATTCTAGGGTGAGTTCTTGCTTTATTTGCAGTTGATTATTTTATCTTCTTCAAAGACGCAGGAAATATAGTGAAACCACACCAAGTTGGACGAAAAATGAATTAAGTATATAAATAACTAAATGTTTTTATTGCTAAAAATACGCAAAAAATTGTCTCTTTTCGCTAGTCGAGGACTTTTGAAAAGAGACGCCGAGTAGCTTATTAGCCAATCAGAACGAAGGATTTGCAATAGTCCACTAGTATAGCAATACTAAATAAGGAAGGAAAATTCAAGAGTGATTATATCTCTATTGCCATCTCACACAATTGCCCTATCGCATAATTACGTCACACWAAAACATTCTGTTATTGTTTTAACGCTAAGGATTATATAAAAACTCGATACGTTGAGGTTCTATTTTCAGACAGAATATTACTAAACCCATTTTTTTTTTGTTTCTGAGCATCTATCCAAAATGAGATTAACGAGGATCAACATATATTGAAATAGATGTATCTATTTTTATTCAGATTTCTCATGAAGCTGTCAGACATTAATGCTATAAGAGCATGCTAGTAATTTGTGTCTCAATAATATGTTTGATGATTTCAGCGTGCAAGTTCTTCAATAATGTTTACCCGAATGGATGCCGAAAGAAATGGAAAAATCCTAAAACGAGCCATCAACGAAAAACGATTGACTGACGACAATGTTACGAAGGTGTTCGAACAAATGTCGGATTATGTCAGTTTGCCTGCCAAACGACTGTCAATCATAGTTCAGAGATACAGACATCATCACGCCATGCAGCAAATAGGTGGGTGTGACTACTGAGGGGTTTGCGTTCGCTGAGAATAGAAATACAATCGTCGAGTATTTCGACTTGACTTGTAAACTGTTCAAGTTCTTCTGTTTGTAGTATGCCTGACTTATAACAAATTACTTTACAGAGGAACAACTTAGAAAAAATGGAGGAAATTTGGACAACAAGGTTCTTCAGACGTTGCAAAATATGGAGCGTCTTCAGAACGAGCGGGCGAAGCGATGGGGTGACAGGATGGACGACATAGCCGACACAAGACAGCGACTTGCTCARTTAATGACCGAAACATTTGAAAAATTAGAAAATGATACTGGAATATTCCTGATTAAACCGGTTTTATCTTATCAAAGCAGGTTAGTCCAGTTTTCATGTRTTGGGGTATCACAATGAAGGGACCTTGAGTCGTGTAAGTGTGTATTCTCACTGACATTGATTTGAATTATAATTATCGTCTCTCTTTGTTTGTACAGAGCCAACCCAACGGGTGGATACATCGTCAGCAACAAGAAACAGTCGCCTGGGCCACCATCAGCTGTAGGAAATGGAGCACCGTCGGCACCAGCTCCCACGCCATGGCTATCAACTGGTAAAACAAGCGCACAAAGTCTTCATACGCGAGGCATCAAGACTTCACCGTCCATTCCTGTCATGACCAAACATGAAGTAGACATCAACATGGAAATTAATACCACACATCAAGGACAAGAAGTGTACAGTACGCAAACCTGGGAGGTAATGTATACATAATTTAACAAAATAATGGCAATAATGACACTGATGGTTAATTATAAATTCAATGTCCCTAAATATGGCGTCAATATCAACTAGTAACATGGGACCAGAAAGTTATTTATTCAAAATTTCAAACTCAAAAATTCAAAAAGTTCAGAAAAAAAAGGTTAATGAAGTGTATGTAGATTATATATCTATTTCTCTGTATCAACTTCTATGATAATGTTTATATACCTGTCGACCCGATAGATCCTTGACTCCATTGGAGGACTGCAGYTCGAAATTAAACTTCAATTACTCCAGTCCACCAGCACCTGTAAGATCCTGAAAAATTCATCAAATTTTCACGGGAAATGAAAGTGTAATTTTTTCTATAAATTTTGATAAACAAGCACTTCAGTGAGAAATAAGGAGAATTGCTCATTAGTTTCTCTATCGACACTAAATGTTTTTTGGATAATTCAACATACTTTGAAAAGCGTACAAATCATTCAGSGCGGAAAACCAGCAAAAATCTGATTATGGTGAACACCATTATCATACAATTAAAAAATACGCAAATCATTTTTCACGTTTTGCGCCTAATGCATATAAAAGGTAAAAAGGTTTTTAGAATTGAATCATTTGCCATCCTTTTTTCCAGGTTTCTAAATCTCAGAGTATTGGGAGTCCATCGGTAAACGCGGCCATAAATACACCACGCATGCTTGAACTTGATGTGAACCGCATGATGATTGGTCAGACACAAGCGAGGTATGTCTGCTTGTCTTTACTTCTCTCTTTTACTTTCTTTCATTTCTTTGTTCCCTTCACATATTGACTTATCTTTTTCATTTTGCTGTCATTTTTGAGGTAAAACAAATGCCTCAGAACCGCTCATTTATTCGTGATTTTCTGATATTATATCTTTATATAAAACGAGCTATTTTTGAGAAGTTATATAACTGTACATCAGTTTCACGGGGATATTAGACTTCTGAAACTTTTACGTCACTACTTGATTTTCAATGCATTGTGGGATCAGTTTCTAAAGAAAACAAAAGAAATCCGCCATGTTCTGTCCCAAACATATCCTACAATGCATTGCGTACACGGTACATGACGTTAAAGCTTCAGATAAAAGGTCATTTATATTCTAATTCGCTCCCCCGCTCAAACGAATATAAATCATTTACCATTTAATACTAAACAGACTTTAGGGAAGTGTCMACAMGGCAGCGCGTGCGTGCATTATTGGAATGTCAGTATATAATGAGTACAATGAATGATAAATGCAGCGATTGGATCACAATGAAACAGGCACGTGAGAAAGAACCATACTGCTTACGAAAGACTATTGACTATACGCAAGTTGTACACATGCCAGACTGCATAATATGTATAATATATATATTAGAATAAGTAAAAGGAAAAAATTCGCATTTTTTTTTTTTTGCACGACGCTAGAGAACGTTGGACGCGAATGGAAAATTGTGCAATCCTATTGCCTATTTATATTAGAGTCTAACCACTGATCCATAAATCCCCTTGGGCATTTACTCCCCTTAACTATGCGCTAGTTAAGTAAACAATGTTAAATACATTTCTTTATTAGTTTATATGCTTTCTTTTGAAGCACTGGTTTTGTGGCGTCAAGTGATAATGGTGAAGTACCCAGTTCATTAGTCAGAAGTTATGTGACTGTAGAACGACCATCTGGCGGGAAAAAAGTCAAGAAAACTAGACAACCCAGTATATCAGGTACGTATTGTTGACAGAAAACGTTGCGCAATGGTTTCCAAACATGGAATATTGCACTGTAAACATGCGCAAATAGACCGGCAAATCCACGGCGATTTCACATTGACTACCCGCAGCCAATTATTATTTGAYCATGCTCGACATATAGTAGCACTTGAACTTTGTATTTGAAATCACTCTGAATTTGCAGACTGTTTATATAATACGTGCGATAGAGCGAATTTCGTTTGAGTGGGACACCGTTACCGCACGGTTACCGCACAGTTACCGGACCTGGCCTGCACAATTTTGGTGAACCAATGGGACACTAGAATTTGGTTACAGTACGATTACGGTCACAGTACAGTACCGTCCGTTTCCCACTCATACGAAATCCGCTCTAAAATCGACGATTGCAAACAATCACACAGCGAGAAACGTTCTAACCATTTCCTTTTGACTTTCCAAATGGCAATCTGACTAATTGAATTTGCTCTTGTTTAGATTATTCGTAYGAAGCCATGGTACCACATCTACGTAACAGTCCAGCAACATTACGTTACTCGCCACTACCTCCAATACGCATGCCCGAAGTACGGCAGGATTCACATGCCAGTAAATCATTACGTAGCTATCCCGAAAGCGAGGCTCTGACGCAGTCATTCCCAGGAAGCCCTGCTGACTTAGAGAGATTTGGTCAAATTAGCCCCTCGCGTTTAGCAATGGAAGATGGACGAACACTTTCACCTGATGTCGTTCCAGCTCACTGACAAATAAATCGATGAAATCGAGAGAATCGACATATCAATCATCATCATCAATGATATCATCGTTGTGGCATATCATTATAACGATTTGTATATACGATCATGTCTATAGTCGACGTGTTTTAAACTGGTTTTTGTTTTGTATAAATACTGACATCGTCATGCTCAAATAAATTGTTCCAAAATCATGACAAATTCATTTGTATTGCGCTTGATTGGGTTGTTGTTGGCCACTTCCTCTCTCACGTCACTTAAGGTATTTATTTACACTAGAAATAAGTTTATATTTCTCGTTTCGGACATTCGAATGCCAGGTAATTTTTATTAAAATATGGATATACGGATTTTATCTTCGCGAGAATCGAAAATAATAACATTATCTATCACATTGCACTTCCTCCATATCATCTGCTTGATTCCGACATCAAGATTACCACTTTACCGAGTTACTGCAAAAGAGACGGAACTGAYTCGATAAAACTAGGGACCCGACCGTTCGCCCATTTCTTATAAATGTTCAAGACGCGTTCTTCAACAGAGTTTCTCGTATATAATAWTGATATCCAGTCAGTTAACACTATTAGAATCACAAGTACATAGATAAGCGTTCTCTTTCTCGAAAAGGGCATCTTTGATTAATTTATGCTTAATCATTCCTAGCAGTCCAGGAGCAGTTATCAGTCCGCATAGTTGAAGGGTTATCTCACTTGTATGTGGTAAACATGATCACTGTTTCTCTCGTAAAAGCAGGTTTTTCTGTAGGTATACGAATAATTTACGAATTGCGCACGGTTTTGAGTTGCATCATGTACTTTTGTGCCCTTGTTGTATGTCCGCGTGCAATTTATTTTTTACCACATGTTTAGGGACCGGTCATTTATTAGAGAGTGGGATGGGCTTATACATTTATTTCCCTGGACATTTTTCTCTCAATTTTGGTTGCACGAAAAGGCACGACACCCACCCTATTTGCACCAGCCTATCCCCCTAATAAATGACTGGTCCCAATCATTCTTTTCTGTCAATTGAGCGCGCGCGACGTGATGGTGTCAGCACACTCTAATCAGCCAATCAGCGCAGGGGAATGTCAACAAGTGTGGAAAAACAAAATTTTGCATCACATGAAGTATCGCTTTTCGACTAATTGAAAAACATTTGTAGAGTTGCAAAAGGTGATATTATCACAGCTAAGSGACTGCGCAATTATCAGGAAAGGAGGGAGTGGGGTTGAGAATCCAGAGGACAAAATCTAATTTTATATACTATATGGGGCGTCGTTTAAAATTAGCTAGAACTTTAAATGGAAACTTTTTTTTGGGGGGGGGAGGGGGGGGAGTCAAAATATTTCTATTTAGGATAAGGGGATAATTGAATAAAATATGTGTATTTTTGGGGGGCCATAAAAAACGTTACCTTTGTTAATTAATCACCCACACCCCTCCCCCATGAATAATGAACAGTCCCTAAGTGTATCTCAAGGAACTGTTACACAAGTTTTTCTCAGCAACTTGCAATATTTTTCTCTACCTAGGTAAGCTTGTTGTCAGAAAGAAATGCTTTTACTATAGAGTACTGTATTGATATGGGAGGTTTCAGGCACTGTACCAGCAAAAGGGTTAAAACGTTTTGTTACATTGAAGTCATTAAACCCGTGAAAAAAAATGTGACTATTAAAGTGTGATAGTCAAATAGATACAAAAGAAAACAAAACAAAGCGTACTAAAAAGTATTAGTGTGATAACGTACAAACACTAACTGTGTTCAACACTTGGCATTATTTACTGCTAMATAGTGACAACTGAACAATAGAATTAGCATAATTTAGCAGTATTTAGTGGTATTTATATTGCACAGTTTTATGTTTGTACTCTATCTATTTCAGTGTTTTTTACTCACTCTGTTGTGGTATTGATAACTGGTTAGAGCGGATTTCGTATGACTGTAGAAAAAATACTGCACTTTCGTTCCGTGTCTGTACCGTGCCGTGMCGTATTCTTGATTCCTTATTTTTATTTGGAATCCTAGAAGGCGAGGTTCCGTGACCGTGTCCATGTTGTGATCTGTGCTATTGCACAGTCATACAAAATCCGCTCTACTCTTGTGGTTTGTGAAGAGGAAAACAGACCATCATCACAGCCAATAATGACCTCTTTACCATATATTATGTGACTGCAACAATTAATTTATCAGCCCCACTCTTCACTGGAGAATTAAAAAACTCCCTGGTTAAAGACAAGGGTTATGGGAAACAATGACTGCTTCAAAACAATGAGATTATGTACTAAATTGATATAAAATTCATACAGTTCATAATTAATAAAACTAAATTTTATATACATCCATTTTTTCATTGCTGATTTGGTCCATGATTAGGGTTYCCATATTCTGCTCTTTTCAAGAAACGGTCCATTTCTGTTATAACTGAACTTATATACACTGTTGGATAGCGCAGACATAGTTCATGAATTGTGTTTGTCGTTACACGATCACACCGAACAATACCTTGAAGAAAAATACAAGATCAGTCTATCATACACTGCATAGAATACAATAAATCTATGTTATACAATACACTGAGCAAAAAAAAGTGTTTCAAGTGACGTCACCACTTTTTTGACATATAACTTGAAACCAGGCGGCGCTACGGTGTTCCACGTGGATCACAAATCTATCGTAAACAAACTCTTCAGTTTGTACCAGCATTTCAGACGTTTCAGTATCTGAAGTTTGCGTCTCAGATTCAGTAGTTTCATATACTGTTTGTGTTTCTTTATGATTTGTGAAACATTTTTCTTCGATGGATTCGTCAACTGCCATTCTGCCATCTTGAACTCGCCTTTCCTCAAGTAGAGGGCAGTGTTCAGTTTGTTTGAAAATATCCTGAACTTTCTCTCCAGGCTCCGACATTTTTTGAAGTCTTGGTTGTATTTTTTTCTCGATRACCTGTTGTCGACGTTTTCGTCGATTAAGCCTCTCTGCGTTGAGCTTTGCCTGATTAGTTGAGAGTTGTTTTTTAGAATGGCCAAGATTTAGCGTTGGAACCCAGTCAATATCAAAACGATCCCAATTTCTTGCTGCCTTGCCAGACACAAAATGCCTACTGCAAACACGATAAGAATTAAGCTTTGATTCTGTTATATCCTCGCGACTTATCGCAGAAATCCACATTCTTCTTCTAGTAGCGGTAAGTTCCTTGAACTGGTCTCCTTGATTTGTAATCACATGAGGGACGCGACAAAAACGGACCTTTTCTGTGTCTTTCTTTGATTTTCTCCCGCTCCTAGTCCCACATCCAACCATTATACATGAAACCATGGCAATGATTACACATCAAGAGGAAAGTATATGAAACAATCAGTGTTATGTGGATTTTCATCGAAGATCTAGACGATTTCCTGTGTGACACACAATGAAGTGGAACACCGTAATGGCGGACRGTACAGTTGCTTAGGAACAATATGACGTCGACTCAAAAATGTGTCACGTGTGCACCACGTGTGTGAAAATGCTGTTTACAATACGCGCTCTCTGATTGGTCAAATGTTATTGTTTCTTTTTTCACCAGTAAAAGCAATGATGCGAAATGCTATAATATAAAAGCAATAAACAACACATTTTCGTGTGTTCCTGGTGAATAAACCACTTGGGACATTGGGAAAACACTCAAAAGGTTGAAAATGTCTTGCCATCGGCTCGAGAATTTTTTCACCTTTTTTTGTGTTCTCCCAACATCCCGCCTGGTTTATTTCACCAGGAATGCAAGAAAATGTGTTGTTAATTGCTTAAATAAAACCAGATTTACAGTGGAAATCGTTGCATCRCAACCTCTTTGACCCTCTTTGTTTTGAAGTTTGTCAGGATTTTGTTCTTTCTTTCAGTCTGAGGGGCAGAGCTTTTTGAAAACTCGTTCAATCATTGACTGATTAGTATTAAGCTCCGCCCCCAAGTCACAGAAAAACCTAAATCCCAACTATTTCCTTTGAACATTGAAGTCGCAATGCAACGGTTTCTGCTGTAAAAGAGGGGACTACTATTAACTATGATATAACCATCCCAACTTACCTAAATGATGAAGGGTTTTGCAACCCTGTAAAAGTACCCTGACACCTTCATCTGTTATCTCCTGACACCAGCTTACATCTATCCATTGCAGTCCTAATGAACTTGAAGAAAGTGTTTTTARACCTAGAATTAGAAACATAAGTTTATGAATAGTTTACAGTTTAACTCAGCCTTACTGCACATCTGAAGAAGAATGATTGTCATGGCCTTTGAAACTCTGCTAATCAAACATTAAAAAAAAGTTACAGCATACTTTAAGAGCTTGTAAAGATAATTGCATATTTGGCTAACAAAAGCACATGATGTGATGCTACAACAGCTGTGCAATCAAAACAGATCAGATAAATGCTGCACATTGCATAGACTGCTGTCACCGATGGCCCTAACCTTGGTCACCACTTTARTTGGTTTACAAAATAAGTTAGGGTTATGGTTTGGGAAAAAGGACAAGAACAACAACTTCTATCATGCTTTGTTGCTCCAAATGGTGTTGATGGACAATGTCTACTGTATTTTAGACTTTTCAGGGAGGGCAATGTATTTTTTAATAATTCACATTGGCTGCATATGGTATGTAGAAAGTAATAACAAGCTACTATTAACCCTACCTTCATCGGTAATACCACAGTGAACCAAGTACAAGCTTTTRAGTTGAGTACAGTGCYGACAAATATATCCAACTGATACATCAGTCACTTTAAAACACAGGCTTAAATTTAAAATAAGTAAATTTTTGCAGCTTAAAACAAGCTTTTGAACTATTTCATCATCCAATGATGTACAATAACGGACGTCTAATACAGACATAGCAAGAGAGTGAATTGCAATGTTGCTTATGGACTGTCGAGTGATTCCACATGAATTTAATTGGAGTCTTTGCAGTTTTTTACACTTGGAAACTAGTTCCTCTACTCCATCATCATTCATATACTTGTTGTTTTCTACCGATAAGAGTTTCAATTGACWGCAGTGATTTGCAATGTGTTTTAGGGTTTGACTGGTTAGTTGAAGACAGTGATTCAATCTTATCTGCTCTAGGTTTATACAGCCTTGACAAAGCTGGAAAATAAAATATAGATATATTAGTGGGGATGGTACAAACGCACCACAACTACCAACATCTTTCTTTGAGGCATCCTCCCGGGCAACCCCAGGCATTTGACACCAATATTTGCAACCTGAAAGAGCAGGCATTTGATGTATTGTCCACCATCTTTAAAATACCCAGAAAGAGACCTAACCACTRATGGCCCATGACCAGACTATTGMTGACATAYTTTGTTATCGATTTATATCAATATTAAATTAATACAAACTCAAATATTGGTTGTCACAAATAGGCAAAACTCACACAAGAACACAAACAAAAAGCAGAGAATAGATAGTTACTGTCATACATCTATTTTCAACTGAAAACCCCWGAAAAACTTGTCTTTGTATTTTAAGAGTCGATTACTGATTTGATCTCAAGGGACAGGCATTTGACCATTCTGTTGCAACCTAAATAGTACGCATTTGACAAACCAGATTGCCTATATGGTGGGGAATTTCACCTTTGCTTTCCCAAAAAATATCAAATGCCTGGAAGGCCGACCTTTTGATTTGACTCTTACATTATTAACATGTGAAAACCAAGGTTTCACAGATGTTATCTGTGCAACTCAAGCTCCCAGATTGGGTTTTGATGTCATACGTTATCTCTTGCAGTTAACTTAATAGATTACCACAGGAAACCCAAAGGAGGACCACCATGTTGCTGTCAGATTTTACAAATGATATAATATTGGATAGAATGTGGACAAATTGTTTTTTACATATTTTGGGAGAAATGGAAAACATAAGTTACCTGACCAATGCCGTCGTCTGTGACCCGGCACATACTGAGGTCTATGATTCTTAAACCAAGGCACTTCTCTCCAAGCACTTGTAAGCAGCCATTTGACACATAGTAACACCTAACAGCCTTGAATTCCACCAATGCACTACACTCTTTAAGGGCTGCGAGAAGTCCCTGCTCTGTTATATTGATAGCTTCAGAGATATCCAGTACTGATAGGTTTTTACCGATGTGCACAATGCGCAACAACACAGCATCATCAACGTGTTTTCGATTACTAAGGTCTACTCTCGTCCATAAACCTGGGTAACTACAGCAATAATTCAAATATTTCGAAACACAAGATGCTCGTCCAAGATCCTTTAGGTTAAGACATGATAATATAGTTAACAGAACGACGTGCGGTAAAGATTCAAAGTCGAAATGATTCTCTTCTCTACTGGCATTCGTCTGGCTTTCATGACATGCAGTTGAAGTTTGGTTTGAATCAACGTCTGGCTCTATATCTTCTTGGCATCCCGAGGAGATCAAGCAATTCCCTGGTTCCATAACAATGTAATATGCAGTAAACTACACAAAGATATATATAAACAAACCAACACAAGAGCCGTACAAATGCAGAAGGAATGTCAGGCTGCAGGAACAAAAGCCGGCCCAGAGAGCCCATTCTCTCCTTAGTCTTCCCACTTGTTTTTACAACGCGGAGGAACAAGTCCGAGTAGTTTTTCCAAGATGGCAGCCCACAGTGTGGCGACGAGAATTTTCAAGTTTGGCGAAAGTGTTTGTCGCTATTTGCAAACAAACTGCTTAAGAAAGGTACATGGAAAGTGCAGAGGATAATGGATAATTGTATGATAAGTTAAAGACAGATAATTAAGTTATTTTAGAAGGATGTTTTTGATTATAGCGCATACAAAACTAGCAGTGCAAAGTATCCCTGGACAACATGAACAAGTGTACACACTTTAATCTCTGAACTAGAGGCAAAATGGGTTAGCTAATACAAAATRTGAATAACAGCATATRTGAAAAGAAGACAAATGGGACAAACATTGATTGATATGACAGTTCATGAACGTTTAATCGATTTGTGAAAGAAAACGGGAAGACAATGACATAAGCATTGAAACAGTTACATGAATATTAAGTGATAAATGAGAAGGTGTTATTAATGATGATTTTTTCCATCTAGAGTCATTTCTTTGTATCATCGTCAGCACATAACAAACCAACATCTGCAACATCAGGTACATGTTATTTTACATTGTGGTCTACAATTCCTTTTCGATTTTGTGTTGCTATATAATAGCGGCAAGAAAACAGTATATATTTAAGCAAAGTTCGTTGTAAAGAAATATCAAACAGCTGAACATRTAGAGAGTTGGTGGTAGAGAAGTCTTCTGGCGGTTAGGATATCGGCTGATAATGCCCAAGGATGAGAAATGGTCCAAAAAATGAACATTTGGCCGAGAAGCGAAGCTTCAATGGCAAATGTGATATTTTGATTTATTTTATATCCCAACGAACTATGTGTTTCATCTCAGAAATTTTATTATAGATTATATAGATAATGTGCACTCTTAGGAAATTGTTTTGAAATTTTAGAAAAAATAATGACTTGTCTAATCTACAGGCARCAACCAGGTACAGTTGAGAGTGTATTATAGAGCAAACATTAGCAATTCCTGGAGAAATGATGGTTGAACAATGTGATTTATATTCATATTCCATAGGTCTTCTTTTTTCAAGAACAGCAATAAAGCCTTCAGTAGCTGCAAACCAGCATAGATGTATCACTTCTCTGACAAGGTTTAATGTTGTTGACAACAGTGCTCTTGGTCARAGGACAAAGCGGAACTCTAAAGCATATCTAATAGGCTTCTACCGGAAAAGAAAAACAGCAGACATTGGKGAYGTTATCAGAGTTGCAGTTGGTGGCAAAACTAATAAGGCTATTGTTGTAGGAACTCGCAAAACAAAACATCATAGTATTCCAAGATATGATAACAATAACATAGTATTAGTGGATGATAACCTTGCACCACTGGGAACAAGAATCAAAGGACCAATACCATCAATTATWAGAAGAAGACAAGCAAAATACTCAAAGGTTTTGGCAATAGCATCTCGCTTTATATGATTCTACATGTTTTTTGAGGTTTTTGTTAAAATTAGACCATCTGTGATAATAAAGAAGGCAATTTTATTTATTCTTTTGGTAATTGAATTGCATCTTCTTCTGTGCTATTCTYTTTTCCCTGTAACAAAGATAAGTTAACTTGGTAACTTATCAAGTGTAGCACAAAGTAAYTCAGAGTATCACAGGTGAGCTGACTGTCACAGGCTAACAAAGGGTCAGGGTAACTCCAGATTTGTTCAGGATCTTCCACTGGATACTCTAAACCCTGACCCTGTTAAAGACAGCWAAATCATGGCATTCCATACCCTATTCATTCCATACCCTATTCAAGACAAATTGGTAAAATGTAGACCATATTCAAAACATAAACCATCCAATATAGTGTTCGCATAATCATTTTTTTCAGTCCTAATGATGGCTGTAGAACAGTGAAAGCTCGACTTCACATAAAGTTAAGTATTTACCATCTAGCAGCAGTTTCTGGCTGCCCTTGATTTATTATTACTCTCCTACTAACATGCTGCTGAAGGATAACTTCTCAAGATGGTAAATATAGGGGAACACCCATCTTGGGGTAACTCTAGAAAYGTTCCATGAAATCTTGATGATTTAGACATTTAGGCTATTACAAACTGTTGAATGAAAAATAAAATTTATGATAGTTCAATAAAGGATTTAGCTTATAGGTTGTAAGATGGCCAAGTGCTGTTTTCTCAAGATTCATTGGATGATATAGCTTTGAAATGGATATGTTCAATTATAGTCTAAGTGCGCTTTCCATTTGTCAGAACTGGCTGGCCAGACCCAGAGAAAATGTCATTATATATCATTCCCATTTGGTTAGGAAATTCAATTTTTCAAATTCTATCCATTATTCTACAGAAAACCTCGAAGTGACTGAAAGATGTTGACAAAAAGCATTATATACCTCTACATAGAGTGGACTGGCCAGCCAGTTCCGCCTAATAGATGGAAAGTAGGTTAAACAAACTTATTCACATATACAGTGAAAAAAATACAATTTGAAATAGAATAAGACCAAGTATGTTACTTCCCTGTCCCAGATCAGAGGGAGTTGCAGTGCGAAATCTAAATGAAAGATCAAATTGAAAAATTTCTATTTGACAAGACAGATATCAGAGAAAACCCAGCATTGAAATGAACCAATCAGATTCTGCCAACTGTGGTATGATGACAGATAAGACCACAATGCAATGCGGTACCTGCTGTACTTTGTTTCTCATCCAAGATGGCGGTCGTGAAGCTTTCGTTGTCAGCTTTTTTATTATTATTTTTTCCTTCTGTTCTTAAAGCCGATGCAGGAGAAAGACAYGTTAAATATGAATATAAATATAGTTTTAAAGGTCCTCATTTAATGAATAAGCAGGGACAAGTGCCGTTTTGGACATATGGGGGAAGTAAGTTACTACAGTACACGTGTCCATTTGATGTTATTTATCATCTTGAATGTGATTTTAATGTGTTTCGTAGGTGCAATACCTAGCAATGATCAAGTACGACTGACTCCATCGCTAAGAGATAGAAAAGGTATGAATCTACTATCAATACATATTGTTGTGATATAGAGCTGCATTGTAAATCAAATAGTTAATTTCAATGTCTATGTTTGGACAACATCATTGAACAGTAGTAATCGTATTTGGTAAAGGCAGTAGTTTATTTACTATCGTATATTGTTGTAGAAATTGCTTAACAATTAAAGTTTGTTGTGCAAGACAATTATAGCTATAATTGGATAAGTATATAAGAGTTATAGTTTACACACGATGCATCATAAGTGCGATGGCACTTCGATCAGTTGATTTCTAAAATTATATGATTATAAGTTTAATTAATGCATGCACTAGACAGTTATATTGTTTATATTTTAAAAGATCTTTTTTGTTCACTATTTTGTTGTCTGGTTACAATTGAGATTTGACATTAATTAATTGAATGTAATTCTCTTTATACCTCTAGGGTATTTATGGACAAAGGAAAAGTTTACTAGTGAGTGGTGGGAGATTGAGGGACATTTTAGAGTTACTGGAAGAGGGAGAGTTGGTGCAGATGGAATGGTAGGAATATTTTATGTGTAAATTTATAATACACTGTYATCCTCAATGATGGAAGACTGCATGCATGATGTACTAACTTTCCTGTGTACCTGCTTATTGCAGCATTTGCAGTTTTTCCCTATAGAAAATTTATTAGTCCAAATCTTGTATCAGTCAATAATTGACTTCTGAAGCTTTTGTRCCACTACTTGATCTGCAATGCATTGTGGGATCATTTTCAGAGAAAACAAAAATCTGCTGTACATATACATTTGTACATGTACAAAAATGCATTGTGTGTATGGTGCATTATGTATGTACAGTAAAAGCTTCATAAACCTATTAGAGGTTTCAATTGATTGATACATAATCAAAATGATTTTCAATTTCCAGGCAATATGGTATACAGAAACAGCTGGGACAGAAGGGCCAGTATTTGGAAGCACAGATAACTGGAAAGGTTTAGCTGTTCTTTGCGACTCTTTTGATAATGATGGAGAGGTAAGAAAGTGGAAATATCTTGAATATCCATGTTTAATGACATTAATGGTCATCATTTTCAATTTAGCAAAACAATCCTTTTGTATCTGTTATGGTCAACGATGGCACTAAATCTTATGAACACCACAAGTAAGTCACACTTTTTATATCTTTTGTTCATTTGCAACATAAACCCAAGAAGTTTCTATGTATTTAGAATGAGATAGTAAGTGTGAAATCATTACATATTAGACTATAATAAATTTATAATACAATTATAAGATAATGATTTATAAAGCTAAATGCGATCTTTTTTTTTTTTTTTTGCATGGAGCTTCCATGGGAATAGGGAAAGGACATTAAAAGGAGTAGGCCTGTTATTGTTTTAAGTGTTTAGTTTTACATGTTATTTATCTTTAGTGATGGAAAAAACCAAAATCTTGGTGGTTGTCTGAGAGACTTCAGGAACAGGCCTCATCCTATTAGAGTTAGAATCAGATACTATCAAAATGTCTTAACGGTAAGTATATTATATACATCTGTGTTTTTATGTAGCGCAAATTTACCATAGAATGAACCTGAAACAACAAAGTTCTGCAGCAACCTTTTTCAATACTCCAGTTTCGAATTCTCCAGTGCTCTGTGTTAGCCTCATCTGTGCGCAAAATATTCCTAATTGTGAGAATAAAAGTGTGAGATTTTAAATCAATTCTATTGTCTTTCTTCACAAAATTCCATGCGTTTTCTCGAGCTATCTATGGAACAAAAGAATATGTTACTTGGTTTTGAGGCTAACACAGAGCAAACCAGAACTCGAAATTGGAGTATT